TGTGTGTGTGTGTGTGTGTGTGTGTGTGTGTGTGTGTGTAAACAGTCCGTTCTGACATTAGTTGTAGTTTTACACTTGCTATCCTGCCAGGTTAAATGATGTATTCTTTAATGCACTGTTTGCTGACTGTTTGTCACAAAGCTGTCAGTGTAACATGTCCCCTGTGTATTCTCCATCAGTATTCTGTACAGTGGGATGAGTATGTGAAATTCCTGTTTTAAGCCTCAGTCAATAAAGCATGTATGTTGGGGTGATGCTAATCAAAGTACATTCACATTCTCATCAATTCCTCCCCTCCCAGCAGCAGGCCAGCAGTCGGCACTCCGTGGTTCCATAGCACAAGGCCGTTATCAGACGGTGCTGCTGAACTGACTGGCTATGAAAGACAACAGACAGACAGACAGACAGACAATCAAGCGGGCAAGAGCAGATAACTGGCTCTGAAGCTAGATGGCCGTGAATCCAGCGGGTATAATGAAGGCTAGAGGGTGGTTTGATTGCACATCGCCCTTTAGACCCACTTTGCTCGAGTGTGCCATATGTGTGCTTTTCATCATTCATCCTCATTGGAAACGTTATCATCATGGCAGCTCATTGTTTAATTCTGAATTCAAGTGTTCATGTGGTGACTTATTTGTAAAAATGTTTTTTTGACTAGAATTTTTTTCCAGATGAACTTAAAATTTTGACATTTCAGAGTCATATTTTATTTTATTGTATTTTGTTTATTATTTTAAATCCAACATATTCGTAGTAAGTCAACAGGTAACAAATCATCCCATTTTTTTTATCTATCTTATCCAGTGTGTATTTAGTGTGTTTTTTTTTTTCCTGATTACAGTCGGACAAGTTTGCCAACATATGGCCAAACTCTCACCCCTCCAAAGGACAGCTCAATACGTACCTTTTTCTTTGATGCCTCTGACTTTTTGGACATATTTCTCAGTTTTTTGTGCAAGTGATTTAAAACCTGTAAGCAAGGAAATAGAGGTAAGATATGTGTTGGATTGCTCAAAAATGTTCACAGTCATGCCATGGCCCGTGCGAAAAGCTCTCCTTACCTTTGCGTAACAGAAGGAAATCAGCAGCAGAGGCAGCACATAACCAAACACAAACGTGCAAACCACATAGACTTTCTTCTGGTTTGGGGGCCACACTTCCCAGCAGAACGTGTGATTCTGTCCGCTGTGAAAAATGTTCTGGTAATACATGACTGGCGCAGCCATGGCCAGGGAGAGTATCCAAATCACCACCACCCCGATCAGGGCATGCCTCGCCACCCTTATAGAGGAGGATTTTCTGGAGTGCACAATGGCGATGTATCGGTCCACGGACATGGCCGACAGGGTGAAGATGCTCACCAGCATGGACACGGTGAAGAAGTAGTGGATGAATTTGCAAATGAAGGCGCCCAAGACCCACGTCGGCAACATGTAGACGGTGGACTGGAAAGGGATGCAGAAGAGCAGGTAAGACAGGTCTGCTATGCTCAGGTTGAGGATGAATATGTTGGTGGTGCTCCGTGGTTTCCCCGGTTTGCTCCGGGCCAGCACAGTGATCACCATGGAGTTGCCCAGCACCCCGAGCGAAAAGATGAGCCCGAAAACCAGCAGCGTGATAAAATTATCCGTGCCGATCCCGAATAAAAGTTGCTGGTCCTCCTCCTGCGCTCTGCTGAGGTTCCACGGCTCCTCCAAGAGCCACACAGACTCCGAGAAGTTCATGATTTATTTTTTCCCCCTCTTTAGATGAACTTAAAACGCTGCAAAAAAATTACCTATGAGAGGTCTTCGCCCCGCTGCTGCTGCTGCTTCATGACAGTTTTAAGAGCAAGGGTTTGTGGTCCGGTGCGTCTCCATGAGCTTTCTTGTTTCTTTTATCTCAAGGTTTCGCTAAATCCCCCAAATTATTCTTTCACCTCACATTCGTAATATATGTAAACGATCCTCTCTCTGTACGCCATGCATCGGTGTTGCCGCTGCGCGTCTTGGAGCTCGTCCTGGTGTGCACCTGATGCCTTCTGCGCACCGACCGCGCTTATCCACTCTGGAGCATATTTCTTTGCTGGAGGACTCTTTCTCCCCCCAAATTATAGAAGTGGCTGGACTGTGTCATTTGCGTCAGCACCCAGCATAGCCTACCACCTCCCGAGAAATGCTGATGGGAAAAAAAAGGAATCTTTTAGTTTCTGAAACCACTGATGTACAATTTGGAGGGCAAAGGCCAATGCCATTTTCTAAATCAGACTGGATTAGTTCTGACACATTATCCTTCGGTTGACAATGTTACTGTGATTATTCGACTGGATTGCTAAAATTGCTATGTAGCACACAACTATCCCGTTTGACAGTATGATTGCCTTATTTGAGGTTCATTCTATTTTATCATGAAGGAGAAATATGCTTTCTAAAAAATAATACAATTAAATGACTATAATTACATGTGTGCATTTAGTTAAAGTGTATTGTATTTAAGCAGATTGTGATGTGCTTTCCCCAACTGCTAGATGGTCAAGTTAGACACCAAATATGAAATAAGATCTTTGGGGATTCTGAAATGAACAGAATGTGTCATCTTTTTGACCATGTTGAACTCCCTCAAGGTAAGCAGAATCCCCAGACAACCAAAGTGTCATTTCGAGGTCCAATTTTTTTGAAATATGTTCCAGTTTTTGATGACATATCTGTTGTGCAAACTATCGGTTTATTGTAAACTGTGATGGACAACCCTCTATTCCATGGTCCACTGATAACACATTTAAACTACTGTAGCAATAATATGTATCTCCAGAATCACAAAGAGCAATTCATGCTGGCCATGTGCAGTTATCTGATGGGATCAATCTGAAGTGCTGGTGTTAAATACATGTTTTACTATTGAGTAACCTGCCATTCCTCTTTTTTAATTAAACCTATAGTGACTGATTCCAGCAACTAGCCACTCGGTTGGATGCGGGAGAAGATCCTATTTACTCGCTTCAACAAATAGATTCCAGACTCTTTCACTTTTGGGTTAGGTTCCCATTTAATTAGAGTTAACAGATAATGATATATGATATGATAGAACTTATCTTCCTGGTCTCCCTCTGGTGTGTCTTGCTTGCGGTAAAAAACGTGTGATCTCCCCGTCACCCATGCATCATTAGCTGTCTGTTGCACCTGTGCCCTATATACCAATTACCTGCCACAATAATCCACACTGCCACCCGTGGTCAACCTGAAACTGTTAGAAGAAAGTGAAAAATGACCATCACAGTTTTTCAGATTTCAAGTTGACGGCTTGATGAAGTATTCTGTCCAACCTACAGCCCAAAATCCAAAGATACACTTTAAACAAAGCAAATCCTCACAGCTGAGAAGCTGTGAGCAGATCCTTTCTGACATTTTGCTTGAAAAATATTTGAAATGATTCATCGATTATCAAAATGCAAAGTATATAAATTGATGTGCCTGCTGTCAGTGGTGGAAGAAGTACTCAAAATGTTTACTTAGGTAAAACAATATTAAAAATACTTTGTTTAAGGTAAAAGTCCTGCATTTAAAATCTTACTCAAAAAAGTACAAAATGTACAAAAAGTGCCAAAAGTCAAGTATACTCATTATTATAGACCATTTCAGAATAATGTATATATTATATAACTGGATTATAAATTATACATTAATGTGTGCATTATTTTAATGTTACAGCTGGTAAAGAGGGAGCTAATTTAAAATATGAATTATTATTATTATTATTATTATTAATGCTGAACATGCCTAATAAACAGCAACATTGTGTGACTTGGCCCTTCCATTAAAAAACCATGACCTGCTAAAAAGCTCAAAGACATTGAAGGAGCACCGTATCAGATTTAAATTGTTTTAACTCTGGCTCCATCTTGGGGCCCATTGCTGTGGTGTTTGATTGGCAAGTAATGATTTAAAACAGGATGTTATTGTGACACCTTTATTCTTCAACCTGCAATAACTGATCGGTTTGCACAAAGAAGTTGTGAATACAATATTGATATTCTCACCTTTATGTCAATATGGTGAACTTGTTACGGTTGGCTATTTATAAATCCAGCAGTTATGGAGAGACATTATCATTCTTTTGGTGTTGTGTTTCTTTCTGGCCATCTGGTGAATGTGAGTCCAATATTTTCTCTCTTTTAGCTCTGTTTTTTGTCCCCACCAACCCCTGAGAACTCCATAAGTTCACTGCCTGGTCACTTTAACCTTTTGGTACTGAGCAGTAAACACTGTTTTTTTTAGCGCCACCTGCTGCAGCTTGAAACAATGCTAATCATTCTTATTTATTCATTTTTTATGTATAGGGACCATGGATGATGTCAAACCTAAAGCTAATTTTAATCCTCAGTCCCTTTGCAGGTCACAATTAAAACATCCTTGCAGTGGTAGAACAGCACTGAACAAATTAGACAGCGTGACGATACACAGTTACACAGAGAAGTACATCCCACACGAGTTGTTGCTTTCACAGAGAAAGCTGACTGCCCAAAGTCCGTGCAACAAAAGGTCATGAGAGCGGTGACAGGAAATCAAAACAGTAAAATTGTGGGCGGCTAAACCACCGGCTGAAAATAAAGCTCTGTAAGCCGAGGGGAGCTGCAGATTCAGGTGGTAATTCTGTGTAGGTTCATCACTACGAGAGACCCCTCTCACACTGTATTCACATCGTCGTTGGATACATTATGGTTTTAATAATGTACGTTTTTATCAGTGAATGTTGATTTTCTGTAGGTGCTGCTTTTTCTTTCTCTCTTTTTCTTCCTGAAATGTAGATGTAAATGTACAGCAATATAAAACACAACACTCCATGTGTGCTAGAGGACTTTGCCCAGGAAAGGCCTGCTGGAGAGAAAGGGTTTAGAATAGAAAATCCAAAATATTTTTTTTTATAAATTGGCTATACTGTTGTGTCGAACTAATCAATAACATAAAAATGTAAAATTATTTGGTTTTCAATGTCTCAGATAATTCCTTTGCAGGGCTATGTATTGCAAATTATTTCGTTATACTCTAAAACAAACTGCTATACCATCGCAAAAGGAGCAGAAATGTGGAAGTGAGGACGGGTCACGACGGAATAATTTTGCGGTTTCGTGCTCATAGCCAGACTTTCAGATCCCACCGGCGCAGCTTGATGCTCGCAGTACTGACAAGAGGAAAGTCAGAGTGGAGAGCACACACATCGCAACAGTCATCCATCCATTTGTACATGATTAGATTGAATGTAACCTCTAAATGATCAGTATAATTGTTATTCAAAGGTCAGACGCACAATAACAACCAACGCAAAACAAATAGATAAAAGGTTATTCTACAGTAATAGGACAGAACATTGACTTTTATTGTCTTTGTAATTGCTATGCTTCTGATGGAAACAAATACTTTGGTTCTACAGTAAAAAAAATAGGATTTGTTGAGTCTCTACTTCTATCTTCTTCTATTATTTATTTCCTTCTCTCTGTGATGTGATTCATTGCTATTTGTGGGTATACAACCCCAATTAACTTTCACTTTAAGGGAACACTTACTGCAGAGAGTTAGAGGAGAATATTGATTTTACTTGCATAGTATGTAAATTAGAACGTTTTAGGCAGCAGTCGGTTGGCTTAGCTTTACAGAAAGACTGGAGGTACAATTAAACAGCAAGCCTGGCTCAGTCTAACGCTAACAATATTTGCCTACCGGCACATCTAAAGCTCACTAATTAAAATTGCATATTTCATTTTTTTCAATCCGTACAAAACCAAAAATGTGTGACAATGAAAATTTGCTGTTTTTTTTTTACAGTCCCAAAACATCAAACTATCCCTTTAAAGAGGTTGTCCAGTGATTTTATTTTGGACTTCCACAAAGTTGTGAGGAAGAGACTCATTAAACAAAGGATGCTCAAAATCTATGCAGGTGAAGTCAAGACATCTTTAAATCAAACCCTAACCCTAAAAGTATGCGTCAAGCACCAACAATCCTACATTTCCCACAATGCAACTCAATCCCAGCGTTCTGGTAAATACCCATGTCCTTCAAACCCCATGCCCCAGTTTGCATTTTAGGCTTTCTGTTTTCTAAGACTTTAGAAAGCTCCCTCCAGAGCCACAAAAGACATACAACTGTTTAGTATAGGACTCCTCATGCCCCTATAAAATGGTACCATATTTCAAATATTGTATACAACCAAATCATAACCACAGCTGTGTTTAATTATTAAGAGTTTAAAAATGAGACAAAACAAACCAAGAGCATATTAACACACACCAGCTGCCAGCATTTTATTTTATTTTAAGGACATTTCTTCCACTAGATGGGGCTATTTTATGTCAACATGCATTCCAGACTTGTTTTTTTATGACCTAGCTGTGACGGGAATCTTTTGTTAGCTTAATGTGTATTTAAGTGTTCAGGTTCTGAATGAATGTTTGCTGTTGCACTAATGCCCTCTCTGTGTGTTTGGTGGGTCATCAGTAGAAACAATGAAAACACCAGCCAATGAGATCAAAATCACGCACTCTGTGGTTTCAAACGGCAATACAGCTTCAACATCTGGGGATGAGGACATTGGGGGAGAGATGCCCATACTGTCAGTTCCACACAGACTTGTGCTGTAAATTTAGTTGTGTGCTGCTTGTTTTGCTGCACATTGAAAATTATTATATTATATTCATTATTAAATGATTGTATCGCACGACTGATTCGATCATGCTTTATTGCACATTATGGCGAACTGAAAAAGCAGGTCAATTTGAAGCATTAGTGTACTGCTTTGTTAAATAAAGTCAAAAATAAAAAGGCTGTCGTCAATTATTGAGGCTTGTGAGAGTTGTGGCCTAGAAAACTCAGAGTAATAAAGTCGTATTACTTCCATGTGTCAGCATGATGGCTAGAGACAACAGAGAAAGCGTTCAGACCACAACTTCAGGCTAATCTTGCATTAATGAGTGTGAGTGTGATGGTAGCCTTGGATTGTTTTTGTATCGGCCTTTCGACAGGATTGTAAACTAAATCCTTCTATTTAGTTTTCCCCAGACGAGCTAAATGGTTA